AGATGAAATCCCTCTCCCCCAATTGTTGTTGTCAGCACAACTCAGGGTTTCCAGGAATCCTACAAAAAAAATGAATGTAGTTCATAAGTGGATTCTCGCTTCTGGAAAGTGCGTCGAAGACACCCTTTTCAAATATTGTAGACAACAGCCAGTTGAATCACTCCTACATTCATGGATTATTGACCTTGATGATCGAGAAGCAGATTCGTTATTTACAACTGAAGAATGGAATGAAATCCAGTGTGCTGTCAAAATTTTGCCAGAGGTTGATCGTACTTTTGCAGATTCTATGATGCGATTTTCAGATGTAAGTTGAGGATAACTAGCTTTTTTCAATTTGTCCAGAACTTGATGCTATTACCAATTTCAGGTTAAAACAGCAAGCGATCTGAGACGAGTCTTAAAAACAACATCCTTTTTAAATGAGGATGAACCTTATGATCGAGTAAAACATTATGATGCTGAATGGGGTGAAATCGTGATGAGGAAGTTGTGAGTATTTGCCTTTTATCAGCAATATTAATATTGTTACAAAGACTTACTAACATACACTTTATTTATTACTGAAAGTCTTACGTATTATGAAGACCCTAACAAAACACTGCAAAAGCAACATCTCGAGTCCTGGTATGACATAAATGTGTGGTCACTTATCATCGATCATGGTCTCTGCGATGTGATTGGAATGGAAACTGTCAGGTACGTCTCCTGTGATTATCATTAATTACAGTCAAACCTCGTTATACCGAAGTGTCGGGGGAGGCATCCACGATTCGGTATAACGAGACATTCGGTATCTTTATTTTAATTTACAATAAAAACAGTTTTGCTAATCAGTAACAAATGAATCTATTCGAGTTTGTTTTTGCTTTGCAATACTATGCAATTCCACCTTTCTCTTCAATGCACGAACGGCTTTAAATTCATCGTAATTAATTTCTATGTCACCTTGTTGAATGCCGTTTCAAGTGCGACTACTGCATCTTTAGTAGAGACGGTAGGGAGAGATTTCGAGCTACTTTCGTCACTGTCTTCCTCTTCTTCTGCAGGAAAGAGGGAAGAAACAATTTCGTCGTCTGTCACCATTTCCTTGCTTATGTCTCCGTCATCAATTGTACTATAATCCGTGGCAGATAATGCGAAATCGACTGATAAAGTGTTAATTGTTGGAGTATAGATTGAAAATATGAAAACACATGTTGTTTATATAGATTTGTTAATAATATTTACGAAAATTGCATGATTGAACAATACGTGAAAACATGTTTACTGAATTTAAAAAAAAATGACGGCTAACATCATACGATCAAAATATTCCACAAACCCCCTGGATTCGCCCCCAATAAAATACAGTCAATCATTCAAACCTCTAAAACAGATACATCTCCCCCGATCCCCAATAATCTCCCCTCATGAGCTTTTATCCTCTGCATGTAATGTAGATAGATAGATAAAACAGTCTAAACTGGCACTTTCGCGAGCGCCTTGTTGTGAATAAAGTTTCTCGCGATAGATACTAATCATAATATTGGTACGTATGACCAAAAATCGTATGATCATCATCTGCTACAGCCAATCATTATTCAAAAAGTTTTATCATGTGATAAACCTTCGGTATAAAGCGATTATAATTAGTAGCATATGTAAAAATCCTGCATCGAACTTCGATAACGGTATGACGAGATTTTACTATTAAATTCGTTATAACGAGGGGATTTCACTATTTAGAAAACGGGGGAGCCAGGTATAACGAGGTTTGACTGTATTTGTTAACTCTAACTGTGTGCATCTATTACTACACTGTTATAAAAATACTTTTAAGACCTGATGATACCTGAATTAGATTAGTGATTTTCGTAAAGCTTCAAACCGCTGCGAGGGTTGTTGGAAATCACGGGACAGCAGTTTCGGTGTTCCGAGATTTCCTCAGGGTATATTTTTCAGCAACTAAAGCAATACGAAGAGTTATGATATCATGAACGCTAAATGTGCACCCATAAGTAACAATTTGTTTATTATTATGGCGTTACCTTTGCTTGACATTTGCAGATCCATGGGCGTCACGCCATGATCGTCTCACCAACAAATCTTTCACATTCTCGGCACATGCCGCAATATTTGATCCATCCATATAAAAAGACATCATTTCACTGCTTATTAAACACATCTCGTTACTTTATCTTTGGAATAACGAAGAAAAATGGTGAAAGTTGGCATCAATGGGTAACAATTTCGCCTACGGTTATTGTTTCTGACTAAAGTGTGCCAGCAACATAACTCACTAGTGGTTCTGTTAGTTTTGGTCGTATTGGCCGGCTTGTTTTAAGAGCGAGCTTTCAAAGCGGAAAGGAAGACATCGATGTAGTAGCCATTAATGATCCTTTCCTCGACCTCAATTATATGGTTAGTAACCGCATATAATTCTCTCTAGATTACCAATTATTGAGAATCGAACGTTTGAGTAATTATTGTCGGCAAAGATGTTTACACTATTGCAATGTCTTCATTAATTTTTAAACTGCAAAAACTGACATTTTGCAGATGTATTTATTTAAATACGATTCTACACACGGAAGATTCAGAGACCAGATTAAAGTTGAGAATGATAAACTTGTGATCGGTAGACATACCATCACCGTTTTCAACGAAAAAAATCCCGCAGAAATTAACTGGGGTAGCTCTGGCGTTGAATACGTGATAGAGTCTACTGGTGTGTTCACGACGACAGAAAAAGCATCGGCTCACCTTAAGGGAGGCGCCAAGAAGGTCATTATCACCGCACCAAGCGCCGATGCGCCGATGTTTGTATGTGGTGTCAATCTTGACAAATATGATCCTAAACATACGGTCATTTCCAATGCATCATGCACAACAAATTGTCTTGCCCCGCTGGCTAAAATTATTCATGACAATTTTGGCATTGAGGAAGGTCTTATGACAACTGTTCATGCCACCACTGCTACGCAAAAGACAGTCGATGGTCCCTCTGGCAAAGATTGGAGAGGAGGCAGAGGCGCAGCTCAGAACATTATCCCAAGTAGCACTGGCGCTGCTAAAGCTGTCGGCAAAGTTATCCCAGAACTTAATGGAAAATTGACCGGCATGGCCTTCAGAGTTCCGACAGCCGATGTATCCGTTGTTGATCTCACTGTTCGAACAAAAAAAAGTGCCAGTTACGATGCTATTAAAGCTACTGTTAAGAAAGCTGCGGAAGATGCGAGATACAGGGGAATAGTTGCATATACAGAAGACGATGTGAGTATATTATTAATATTATTTCAGCGTTTGTGCAACACTCAACTTAATCTTTTCTTGTAAACATAGGTTGTCTCGACAGATTTTATCGGTGACACTCATTCATGCATCTTCGATGCTAAAGCTGGTACATACGGTTTATCAATAATGCTGTTGGGCATAAATTGTAATCTGTCCTTGTTTACTAATTCTGTATTATTATTTATAAGGTATTGGTCTAAACGATCATTTCGTCAAACTTGTTGCGTGGTATGACAATGAATGTAAGTATACACCGCCTTTCGTGCGATAAATTCTCTCGAAACAGATATTGATTTGGTTTATATATTTAGTTGGCTACTCGACGCGTGTGCTCGATTTACTGAAGTATGTTGCCGTAAAAGACAAAGCTTAACGAAGACCGAGTCCTGGTTAATGTTAAGCAGCCGGATTAGGAGGCTACTACAGTTGTAACAATTAAATAATCTCAGTATATTTAATAAACACGAAATTCGCAATACATAATCGTAGCGTTATTTTGTGGAGAATAGTCGATTGGTTTCAAAGCTTGTAACAGAAGAACAATGGATTGAACATATTAATATGGTTATCGCTACCTTTACTTCGTTTAAAGACGGTATAAAACAGTCAACTTGATCAACCGAATGAGACGGGATGTCTGGTAATCGGATTCGCAGTTATTTTATTCGACAGCATGTTCTTATATTCTGGCTCATACGATTCTAAGTTAGTTTGCAACACGTCCCCGAAGAAATGTTCTAATATATTTCTGAAAGGTAGACGCTTTTGATGCGTTTAATTAAGATGCTTTTCGCTTCCACGTGTTTTAACCTTAGGGAAGAAAGAATATGATTGGCTTCATGTGACATTGGCTCAAATATTATGAAAATTCTTTTCCACCATTGACCTAATACTATTATTAAAATTACAGTTCTAATTAAAAAAAAAAGTCATCACAATTATTTAGATAGCAACGTGAAAAATATCGAGGAACCTGATAATGATGAAAGACTTACGGTAACGGATTTCAAACTCGGTCAGAATAGAGAAATGGCGTCAACATGCATTGAAGAAATACATAGACAGGAATCATCAATGGATGTCTTTAGTCTCAACACAAACTGGCAATTATTTTTGGGTTATTAAATAAGTCGTTTTCTGTTTGGTTTCAGCGGGCAGCAATTAGCCTAGATTATCTCTATAGAAAGAACAAAAAAATAACTGAAAACAAGATATTTGCACGCACGTAAGAGCCTTCGAATTTAAACATGCTTTTTGCTCGGCCCCAATTTGTCAACAAATGTCGTCGCTTCGAAGTCATTACCCCACATTTTTATGAATGCCCAGGCATATCCGTTAAGTGTCTTGTAAGCTCCTCTTGTATAATCTGACCCTGTTTAAATGCAAAGCGCACAGCAAGTGTAGCATGTTTCTTCTGAGGCAAGGAGTTAATGTTTCCATACCATACATTTTAGTATATTGACAGGTCAAATGCTCCATACCAACAATGCTTCGCGTTCAGCTATAGCATTAGACTTCCTCTTTTGCACTGTCATAACGCTTTCCCAAAATTCTTTTATCAGCTCCGATTTCTTCTCATTCTATTAATGAAATAACTTCATTAACGTTAAATTACAAGCAATGCCCAGTTGCAAGGATGGAATTCACCCGAGCCTCAACAATCAAAAGTATTTCTTGCGATGCTTAATTTAAGCGAGTATCTTTTTGGGTCTCATGCACTTCCCAGCATCAACCAGGAGTGTTGGGCGATCAGGATCACCCTTCAGGCTCAATCTGAGTGTTTTCCCAAACGCATTTTGATGTAATCGATGAGGGGAAAAAACATTAACAGCAAATAGGCAAACGCTCTGCTGGCTTTTATGAGATGTCGTTGCTTCTCCCAACTAAGTATGTTCGTTAGGTTAAGGGAATAACGATGGTGTTCTTCGCTTTGATTGAACAGAAAATCATTTCTCTGCTGGCGATACAGTAAAAAACCCAACAAAGACCTGTTGCAGCTAATGTGAATGTATCAGTAGAGGCTGACGACATCAAGATTAGTAACATAGCGGTTTGAGTGAACTATACTCGATTCCCAAGGAGTGGCAAAATGAAGAACACGTAATTATCGCGCAACGGTTCGTGAAGTAAATTATACTACAATACACAAATTACTTATATGCCAAAATACTTAGGAAATAGAATTACAATAAACATGAATTGTAATTATTAATTTTGTATAAATATAAATGTATTACTCTATTTTCCCATTTTTTAATAAATCATGTGACACAATTATGTTGCGCAATCAATCATATCAATATAATAATATGTTAGGTTTTACGTTATTATTATATTATATCATAATCGGATCTAATATTTGTAATTATCAAACCCGGTCAATACAAGAAGTTGAGATTTCATATCAAGCTTTGCTTGAAAATCGAAAAGATATTAAAGGTATGTTCTACGTACGTACATATAAATCTATAGTCTCTACGTATAATATTAATTCTGAATAACTTAAAAGTTTCGGTCATGTCCTTTGGAAGTACTGCTCCACACCTCAAAAAACATTACCTGGTGACTTAACCAACGAGAATCACCACATACTTCGTTTTCAACCAAGTCTCGTTGGCTCTTTTCCGTAAAGAAGTTCCTGTCTTGAAATCAAGACGACGAGGAAATTATGTTGAATTTTCTTGATAAACGCGAGCAAACGGATCGAACAATTTTTGTTGGCACCGGGAAAATGAGGGTGTAGAATTAGGAGAAGATAAGAAATTTACTTATGAAGTGGGGTCTTACAGAGGAGACTGCGGGCAGACGACGTAGTAGTGTGCGAGGTCCCACTTGGACTCAACAATGGGCTTGCACGTATGGAGAACGTGCATTTAGAGAACACGTTTGTTTATTTCGCCCACAAAACTCCATTATTTCATTTCACGTAACCACCACTTTGCATTGTGTATTATTTATTATGTCGAACGTTATCGAAATGAATATCCAAGTTGAGGGAAAAGACATCTATTTAATTTATTCAATAAATTTGAAATCATCATATATATTATTGTAGAAGGCTCGTATATTGGCTGCTTCCGAGAAGCATCCTCAAGTCGTTTTACAACCTTACTTAATTGCAACCAATCCATGATAGTATTCTAACCTGACAACATTGTCAATATCTTACTGTACAAGATATAGCGCAAGTGCCTCCTTATGAAGTAACCCTTCGCGTGACCACGTCTATGATTTCCTGATCTGTAAGCTCCATTCTGTAATCGTTTCTTCCGGATAATTGCGATAATAAAAAAATTTAGTAAAAGAAAATAAAGCCAATTTGCTGATACGAACACACTCAACAGAAGGTTAATAACCAACATCTAACACGTTTTTATTTATGAGTAAAAAAGTTTATTTTCACCATTCTGAAACGCACTGTATTTTATCCATATTTCAAAAATTTCATCAGAGTTACTTTTTGCTCTGCTCTCTATTCAATGTAATTTTACACTCTTTCTATAAGAATTGCGCATACCAATTTAGCTACACAACTACATTTCTATGCATAATAAACAAGCTGTTAGCTATCAATTTGGCAAACGCGTTTCGGGTACAAAACCTTTCGGGTAGCCAGACATTTTTAATATTTTGTTATCATTACTTGTGCTGGAGACCCAACGCTAACAATTCTCCATTACTGGCTTAGTGGCCAAATAAAATACTAATTATAATATACAATCTAAGAAAGCTTCGAGACACGTAATCCATTGAACACAGGAAAAAAAAACAACTACAACCGCCCCTTAGTCAACGTGTAATGTACCGGAATAGTGCTATTTAACACGACAGTTGCCTTTAAATAAAGTGCAAGAGTCGAAAATATTTTCTTTCATTTCACACGTCGCCGTTTTGCGACATAAGAAAAAAATATATATGAATTTCTATACTCCTTGGAACACCAATGCAATGCTTACAAACTAGTATATTGAAATGCGGAAGACATGAGCAGTGGCACATTTACATGACAATTGGTCTGAACTATCTTCACTGATGAAACAGCATTTGATCTTTCTAGAAACAAAGTCATAAGAGTGACACCCATCCGACGTTTACTCAAATTGCGCCAGCCGAGTGATGTAGCATAGGAAAGCGTTTCCTGAAAGAAAAAAATGCTTCACTGACATAATGGGTGGGTCTTATGTAAATATCACTACCAGACTCAGCTCTTGCCTGCTGCCCTAAACTTGTATAGCAAAAATTGGTTTTCACGACAAGAAAATGATCTTTAAGCACACTTTCCGTGTTAAAATTTCATTGTTGAGAAGGCCGAAAGATGTTAGTGGATCGAAGAAATTTACGACTAAAGATAGGATGCTATTTCTAATGAATAATTCACAGTCAAACTTCTCTAATACTAATGCATACTCAGTTAATCTGGTATTGTACACTGCAATCGATTTATAAATATAGCCTTACATTACTTGATATAATATATTGTGTCGTATGCATTTTTCTATATATGAAAAATTAACATGAAACTAATTTACATTACGTCAAAGAATTACAGTACCATGAAAAGCATTCTAAGAAAAGAACAAAGTGAAAATTTTTTCCATATGTTTTTAAAGCCAATAGTACCCGAAATGTCCGAGTCTAGACAACAATAAAGAAAAAATACTTATTATTAGGCTACAACAGCCATTTTGAATTCACAGTGCTATATATACAAATGTGACGAAAAAAGTTGCCGTTTTTATCATAACATTATGCCTGCATATCTCCACCAATTTTAGCACAAAACGCGTCATGTAAAAAGCAAAACTAAGCTTATGTTTATGATTTATTTTGCGTTCTATTATACCCGTGTTTTCGTTTGTGTCTTTTGGAAATACACTCTTTAAGATGTCTTCTCTTACGCAAGATGACAAGCATATAGGTTTATTACATTTTTGGAAGCTAAGGTCTACAGTCTGTTCCAGAATTAAGTAGATTAACAAGCCTTCCCATACGTACAATTCGTTACAATGTCAATAAACTGAAAAATAATAACACGTTGGAACACAGATGCGGCGAATTCCAAAAAAGTCATCGAAAAATCTTTGCCTAGAGTGGGTTCTCGATAATGGGGAGACTTCGCTCGTTTGTTTTAGAAATATTATGGATGCCCCATTCTATGTTTCAATTTTACAGAAACATGTTTCTGAGATGTCAGAAATATGGGGAGTAAATGGCGGCTGCAGCAAGATAACGTCTCTAAACATACTGGCCTGCTACGGCGAGCTGATCGGCTGACGTCGATAGCAAGTCACATGGTAAAATCTTCCTCCGCAGTAATCAAACAATACCCCTGACGATCTATTAATAAGTAGATGTTACTCA